CTTGTAAATAATCTTTAAACAGAATATGTGTTTTCTTTTAACAAGAAATCTATCAAATTGTTGTACCGTAGTTTTAAAATAAATATAACTTTTAATAAAGGAATATTTAATATCTTGTTCGATAACAAAACTTGTAATGTGTGGATTTTTCTTTATTGTAAAATAAAATTCTAAAAAATTGCCCTGAGTGTAAATCATAACTCATGGAATCTGTAATTCCAAAATTAAGTTTCTATCAAATAAAACATCATGAAGTGTAAGTTCGTGTAGATTACTGAATCTACTAATAACCCCCTTACTTCGATTATTGACTCCTAGTTTTGTGATATTTGTACTTTGAATATTTAGTGGTTCCTCAATCTATAACATATCTATGTTATATTCACTGATTAATTCTCTGATCATTATTTCTGAAGTGGTGTATGATTCAATTATGTTATCATCAAATAGTATTGGTAGAATGTGAATTAGTTTCAATGGTTTTCTCTTGAGAGTTTCAATTACTGCTTCATAAGATACTTTCTTCAACCCTAATACGGTTAAAGTAACATCCTTTAGATTCTTTGATTTGTATACAATCTTAACAAAAAGCTCATTTGAAACAGTATGTAAATCGCTGGATTTTAAGAATATAGAGAATGTATCATATATATCTATGAGATCAATATAATTTATAAACTCTAAATAATCATAAAGTGAGTCCTTCGTGGTTATATCTTCTTTGATTACCAATAAACGTGTTATGATATTTGTCGTTCTCTCTCTCAATGATCCAAAGAGAATATGTATTATTCCTTTTAACATTAATACTTTCTCATCAGAATATTGTTTCTGATCAGAGAAAATTTTAAATATTCTAAAGAAATCATTCCATAGTCTTTGAATTATAAAATAGGCAATGATCCTGTTCAATGTTATTAATAGATAGAGATCGGTAAGTTCGAGATAGTTCACAATCATCTCGGTCAATTCAGGTATGAGTAAAACTCTATAACTTGACATATTTAATTCATGACAAGCACCAAGTAACATCTTTAAATATAAATTTATATTATGATTTATTTATCAAATTTTAATTCATTACAATTATCAAAAACCCTATTATTGTATTCGATATCATGGATAGTACTGTATTCTGTGACACGTCTTTCAAAAAAGTTGACCCTTGTGTATGCTTTGAGATACTCCATGTGTGTAAATGGGTTCTTTGTTTCTATATTATCACAAAACCCGGTCGCATTTAACATGGTTTCTTGAAGATGATCGATATACTTTTGAACTTTTACCAATGTAAACCTATTAACTTTATTTTTACTATTGGCAAGAATTCTTGTTTCCCACATATTTTTAACACAATCAACAAGTTCGGAGCATATTTCTTCGGCTTGTGGTTTACTAACTCCTCCGATGATCTTATAAACATAGAATTGCTCGCTAACATGCATTCCTTCTTCTACTTGAACCCAATTATTACCCTCGACAGTTGCAGAAATGTATCCCATATATCGATATTGGGTTATCCATGCGAAGAATGGGAAAAATACTATAGACTCAATGAATGCATAGGCGAGCAACCTCTCACCAAGTGGTAAACTTCGATCTTGATATCTCTCACAGTAATCAAAT